CATTCATGGATGTAGAAGACTAGAAACAACTTCAGAAGTAATCACGACGAAAATTTTAACAAAATTACGCAATAACAACAAGATACGAAAACAACAAGTAAACACAATGAATCCAAAAACACCAATTGATAGAACACACCACACGTATATACAAACAGTACAAACAACCTCGCGATCATGTCTTGATGGAATTCCTTTGAAGAATTGCAGGACTTACACCAGTACGCCTACAACCCTTCACAGGTTGACGATTGTAAGTTGTGGAATGTCCGGACACAAACAAGATTAACCAACAATTACATCAATTGGAACTCACACAACTATTTAACACAAACATATGTACAATCAACACATCAAATGTTGTGGATTCTGACACGACAAACTACCCTTGAAGAACTGTAGGACTTACAGCAGTACGCCTACATTCCTTCTCAGGTTGATGATCCAAGTGGAAGTCGTCCGGACACAAACAGAATTACCAACAGCTAGATGACAGATGATATCAATTCAGTATATACAATATGAACATATGTACAAGATCATACACCAAGCACATTGGACTGCTCATTGATGCGCTACCCTTTGAAGAACTGTAGGACTTACACCAGTACGCCTACAACCCTTCTCAGGTTGACGCCCTAGGTTGGAAAATCGTCGCAGAGTTCATTTGCTAACTTCCTTCTATCAGCTATATCCTCAAATCTGAACGGCAACACGCCCATGTCATTGTATCGTAGAATATAGATGACCAACAAACACACGACATATCTCATCAACCAAGTATAGAAACAGAGTAATTTACACCAAAGATAATAACATTCAAATAGTAACTTGAAACTAGAAATGCCTTTATTCGTGCAAGTCAATTTAACAATAACTCTCTCCTTTACACTTGGCTTATCCACACTAAACTGACCATTGATATTCGTCCTTTCAAACGAACTGATACTACCATAGTCATTGCACAAGATACTTGAGTTGATGGGTGTCTGTTTCATTGTGGATGACAGCACCAACGATGACTGAGTGACACAAGGTGATGAACTTAGTGGTGGATCAGAAGCTGTTCTTGTTCGGCTCTCAGATAGTTGTCCAACTGCAAGATTACCACCACTGCTGTCTTTCACTACTAGTTCGGGTTTAGCACTATCATCTGATGATAGGTGGGCTACACGCTGATCAATTACACTGACTGTCTCACAAGTATGCACACCTTTTGGAACTGCATCTGCGTTCAATTCTACTTCACGTTGTAGTTGTACAGAACCTTTATTTAACTTAGCAGTAGTAGGCATATCCCTCATCTCATCATGATCAACCAAAGACAACTGTGAAGTATCATGATCATTATCACGAATATTCACTTTACCGTCAACTTCATCATTTTCAAACTCTTTAATAACAGAAGTAGACAATTTTGGTTCCTCCTCGCAAATCATAAAAGGTTTTATAACTTCACTCTGACTAGTAATACCTTGTAAACTTGTAGGGTCAGAACTGCACTCTGAAGCAGTAACTCTATTCTGTGACACTCTATTCAACAACGGCTTACCAGTTGCAACTACAGACTTCTTCACCGCACCGTTATCGTCACACAATTCGGAGTCAGGTCTGGAGTTTACATTTAGCTTATCACTGAACTTGCTCACCGGTTCACAGTTCACTTCTGTATGCACCTCTTGCACACGTGTAAAACAAAACCGTGTTTGTCTTGCATCTTGTAACTTATCTGTTGAGGATGTACTACGAAACCTGTTACACTCACTAGGTCTATATGCATTACTAGACATCATGGAGCTTTCTCGATATCCACCTCTCTGAGGCCTACTCGTCATCAATGATTGCGTTTTGATCTCAGACTGCTCTATTCTAGGGGTGAGATGTAATAGACTGGCGAACTTGCTCATAGATTGATTGACACTATCTTTTACCAGTTTCAGGATATCATCAAACTTTGGCTCGATACCCTCATCCTCCATACGGGAGCTTATCTTCACCCACTTCCTTTGCAGTCGAGTAGGTAGACGTCTTGCTATTACTTCTAGTATAAAACTCGAGTTGAGGTCACTCATTCGATTCATCGAAATCATTCCATTCTTGTAAATTAGCAAATTATCTAAAAACTCAGTGAGTGCCTGGGAGTCATCCTGTAATTGACCACCATTACCCTTAACAGCCTCGAATAATTTCCCTGCAATCATCGAAGGTCTTCCAAACCTTTGACGTAATATGCTCATAGCCTCGTAGTAGCCCTCTTTTGGCTTCATAAACTTACAACACTGTATAGCTCTTGCAGCATCTCCAGTGCAATATCTCATCAAATACATTAACTTCAATTCATCATTTAATAAAAAACCACTCAACATGATCTCAAACTCCTTTACAAATTGTAAATAATCAGCCGGGTTTCCATCAAAACACCGTGGTTCAAATTTAGGGAGTTTGATGTTCCTATTATCCCTGAACGGCGAAACAGTAACATCAACCATGTCATGCTTAACATCAGACACATCGTTACAATTAACAGACAAGTCACCATGACTTACTTTCCTGTTTGCATCCAAGACACTCTGTCCCTTCTTTGACCCAGGCATTGTTGAACTTGACCCAATTCCAAAAAGTTCCAGATATTGCTTGTTCAAAGAGGACTTGACCGGCACCAGGAAAAATGAACGGCGACTATCCAAACTTTCACCAACTGTTTCAATCCGCCAGATCTGTTTCTATCGTCAGAAACTGTCAATCACGTCTCATAAACCGTTAATGCCCAGCTCTCGCTACGCTCGGGCCCACGCTGTTCTTAGAAGATTTCTCAGAAACGCTTAGTTATAACGGACGCAAAAACCAAAACACCGATCTGCCGCTTGATATTTGTTTATTGTTACACCAACATATAAAAGGAATAAGCGAACTAAGGTCTGAAAACAAATATTACAATAATAAATCTCTGTATTACTTCTGACGATGTTTCACTCTTCTTTCTGAACAGCGACCGATGAGACGATGACTGTCGTATTGATGCCTCCGCGAAAATTGGGGAAGTTGATTTTGAGCAAACAACCAAGAATTGATCGTTCAATCTTCAACTCCATTGACAGTATGTATAATCTGTAGTGTACATGTCAAACATATTTTGCTATCGACTGTAAATTGTGACTGAATAATATGGTTCTATTTCTGTAACAATTTGATGATGCCTGTAATTTGGCGTCCCTCATGTACTGTAACATGAGAATAAATTTATTTATTATTTATTTACAGGAAGGCAGCACGTATGGTTCACGGCACGGCTAACTTATCATACGAGGAAAGACTAGAAAAATTAAATCTCTTCCTACTGTCATACCGTAGGCAGAGAGGAGATTTAACCACAATGTTTAAAATTTTAAATAATGACTACGGACCTGACCTTTTCCCTCTTTTCATTCCCACCAGGTGGTCGGAAAACCTTAGAGGACATAACTTAAGAGTTCAAAGGCCCAGAAGAGATCATATTGCAGTTGAGTATTGGTTCTCACACAGAACCACAAACTCTTGGAACCGACTCCTAGAAGAAGTGGAGTCTGCAACCTCAACCGATTCGTTCAAGAAGGGTTTAGACAACCACAGAAATTTGCTAGAAAATGATAAACATAGGCTCCAAGCCTTCTATTATCAACCAATAAATCTGAATCTGAATCCCCTTCTCCCTTATTTCGCCTTTATTGCCTAAAAATTTCCCTCGGATCTTTGGAAAGAAATTAGGAATAAATGATCCAGTGGACCCTATTAATTCGTTCAGGAGGGTATTAGATTAGCAAAGATACTTAATGAAGGTTTGGTAGGATAGCCTTTCTTTTTAAAATCCTCAAGGAATTTCTGCGGTTCAAGTTCCGTCTATAAATCAATAGTAAAACAAAATTTTCACCTGTAGAAATAGTTGCGAAATGCACAAAAGATATTTCCTCATCGTATAATTAAATTGAATGCAAATTTTCTCAAATTTTCACTGGCCACCGAAATAAACCGTATGATGAAAGGTTGAACAAATTAGGTCAGTTCACACTTACCTACTGACGTCTTAGGGGGGGATTTAATTACTACATAGAAAATAACAAATGAACAGAATCACCCGAACAAAGTTTTTCTGCCATTGAGTAGGCATAGGCTCCCTCGTGGAAATCCCAGAAGGATAGCTCACCAGGGGGCAAGGACCTAATTGCGCTCCCATTTCTTTTTACTGCGGGTTTGTCGTCCCTGAAATTCCTTACCGGTAGATGTAGCTATTGCAACGTCTGTGGAGGCCTTTAAGCGAAGACTGGACAACCATGCAGCGACACAAGGACTGCATCCAAATGGCCTATCCCCTTGAAATCGCATACACCATTCGGGAATAGACAGTCAAACTTGTCGTTTTACTTTTTTGCCTTCTCTCCCGTCTTACTCTTCTGAAAACTTTAACTATATTTATTATTATCATCATTATTACCGATATATTATTCATATTATTTTTCAAATTTAATCAGCTGACTGTTATTACGTTTTCTTATCTCTTTTTCTGACTGTTAGCCTGAATAACTTCACTAATTATATCTATCATTATTGTTATCTTTTTTCATTTGTCGATGATACCGGAGGACCAACTGGTGAAAGGATCAACTCCATTCACAGTCGTAACAGTCTTAACACACCTCACACTACAAACCGCATATAATTAATCCCAGCACTACTCCCTTAGGAGTTAACCAAAGCTACGACAGTCAAGTGGCAGGACGAGCTACTCAGAAGTTTACCGAAGATCAGGAATCTATACCTTTTAATCAAGAAGCGAGCAAAAATAAATCAAATTTGTTTGTACTAGATCGTAAAAACGATATTGGATACTGGAATTGACCTTGAATTAAACGCGCCTTGTATCTAGGGTGCGTTACTTATGGTTCGCTGAAATATTCCATAAATGCATATACGGATTATATTTTTAGCGGTGACAGATTTTATTACGCATCGCACACTTTTTAGTAATGCGTGATGTTTTAAGCGCATTAACTTCGTTGGAGAACCAGTCGTCGAATGTTGGTTATAAATCGTATAATGGAGCATAATTTAATATTTTAGGTGTACGAACGGAATATCATTGAATTCATTGAATTGGTGTACATTCTTTTAAAACGAAAATTTCGATCTTCTGGCGTTTTTTGGAGGTAAGTGTCATATACTTATAATTTTCATTTTAGATATGTGAGTCGTCTCAGGAACTTTTTGCTGTGTAACATTAAAGACTGTCAATTCACTGGTGATCAAAAATGTGTTTTGAAATGTTCTTGGTGTTGTGAACTATTTTCTGACTATTCCGTATTACTTTCATTATACAAAAAATACTTTATCTTGGTATGCTTGGAAGTAGCTGCTAAACTTGGTAGTTCTAAAGCTGTTGGTAATAATCGACCTTCCTGTCACTTGTGTGACTTGCACCTCGCCTACACCTCTCTTCATCATTTCTGTCTAGTTTTGCGCGATGGTAAGTCATATGGTACTCGCGAATAACTTGTTGTTCATGTATGATATACAAATGAAGTCGAGAATTTTGTAGTATAAGTAACTTATTTCACCATAAAATGTTTAGCTTTTATAAACGTTTTTGAGTTCCCAGGCGGAAATGTATAAATATGGTAATATGGAGAGTAATTATTTGATGTTATGTTTGCACAGTCTGTTTTTTTGTAGGAAATAAACTTGTCGGAATATTCAACAGAGTATCAAAATTCTTTACGGCTCTAATTGCGTCTCACTGACACCATGAGATTTTAAACTATGTGTGTGTTATATACTCAGCTACTTCAATACCTACGACTTTTTCAAGCGCAGTTCACGTGTCTGATAGCTTTTATTCAGTGCATGTGATGAATTACATTTAAGTAGTGTTTGTAATTCATAAAAGGAGTCGTTTGTTCTTGAAAATCTATATTTGACAGAAATATTTTTTTGGGCTACGAATACCCCTTTCATAAGAAAATTGGTGTATAAACAGGCTCTTTCTTGGTAGTTATCACTGTGACGTTTTATCTTGAATAACGATCTTTTTGCTTTTGTTCCTAACTTGTGGTAAATAGCCTGTTCTGAAGAAAAATAAGATTTATAGAAGATATTCATAAATCCTTGGTAGTACTATACGTTTAAAAAAATGTACTGTAACTTTAAAAGTTTTTCATTGTTTGCAGACAACTGTATACATTCCACATTTTATTCATTCTACCTGACACTTTCTTGTCAAAGTATTTATAATTTAACTTGGTGCAACTATTTTTCAGGGCCTCATGACCACAGATTTCCTCATTCTGTGTACGGCTTTATTGAAAAGCCTAACTGTAAATCATGTACGCATATTTTGAAAAGAAAAGTCATCCCATTATTTTGGGGTAAAGGTATGTGTTCATTTGTAGTCAGATTTCCTAATGCAAGTTTAGGAAAAAATCCAAGTGGTCTCTGTGATGACCATGTATCGTCACATGAAGAAAAACGATTTAGAGTTTTTAAAAAGAATCATAGTACTTTGTCACACCTGAGGAAATGGATTAGAAGGTCTGAAAGCAGCAGTGACTCTTGTGATTCGTATTCATTGAAAGGGTAAGTATACTAACTTAGCATTTTTCTGTCAAGGATTTTTTTACACTTTTATATATGCTGAATGTGAAGGGAATTTTGTCAGGAACCTCTAATAAAAACTGCAATCGGATAAAGCGGGTGTTTGTGTTCCTGGTCTTTACACTTGATTTCCTCTCGGGATGAAATCAAGAGTAAAAGCAGTGAACTACTTATAAATTTGTTTAATATATTGTGTGAAATGAAAATAGAAATAAACGTATATGTTCTTCACAATAAAACATATGAGTATTCCATAACATATCCGAATTTGTTTTCATGTTATTTCGTATAGGAGATCAAAGATTTGGTGAATGTATTTCAGGGAATCGAAGTCGGTTACAACTTATCATACATCCCTTATTATCTTATATCCTCTTTTACACATTATTATTAGTGATTACCTGCTATTAGCCACTTCCATTTTATATATAAACCTTTGTTCTGTTAATTTCGATTAATTTCCCTGAAGAAGTTCGGACCAGATTGCCGAACGAAACGTTGGAATTAATCATTTCAATTTCGCTGAGATTTTACAAATAAAACTTTATAAATGTCTACTTCTCACTCAGCGCTCAATTATTTTGCAACTATTCGGTCAAATCTTGATCACAGTTCATATGAATTAATCTGTGCTGTTTATAAAGTATGACAAACTAGCTAATTATTTCACAGCATTCTGTTTTACTGTAAATCTGTAAAACCTAACGATGCTTACCGTTTTCAGTGCCTAACATAACAAATAGATTGGCGCAAAGCCCATCTTAGTGATATATCAGTTCATTTTGTTGCGTGTAAAACCGTCAGGCGATACTAAAATAAGGAAAAGTGAACATAAGAAAATATGAAAATCACTGTTAATGGATGAGCATTTTCGTTTTAAAGAAAAACTTACTATATTTGTATTTTATTTTGGGCTTCTAGCACTTAAAATTTTGAAAACTTAAATTGGTTAGCTAAGATTTGAAGACTTCGTGGGCTATATGTTTTTATTCATATTAGTTGTAATGTTATCACTAATTTAGGACGTTTAGATTTGCGCGGGTAACAATCACTTTGGCAAATATCCTATAGCTTTTCTTGGCATTCATTAAAACTTCATTGAAATGACTTCCGTTTAACTATTTTGTTTTTGTTTTAGTGAAAATAAGCCTGTGAAAGATAATCCATTGGATTGTCTCAAGGCTGAGTCTATTCCACATCAACGTCTATCACCTCTAAATGATTCAAAGTGTATTGACGTCAATTTATTACACTCTTATATAGACAAGCATTTAACTACTGAATTACCTCAGCCGTGTTTGTATCCACATGTATTGGTTATTTTATGTAAATATATTAATGCTATTCAATTCATCATACATATGGATGAAAGTTATTCAGTTCATTATGGTGATGCCTTAGCACATTTTAATATTAACATTCTTGAAGAACTGCAAAATGTAACTAAATCGGTTTATGAAATGTTTATCAGTACTAGGTGAGTATAACTAATACACTTCTTTAAGAATTTGCTGTTACAATATTTTCATTGTGATGTTTTTGTATCTGCATAAATCTCTTTAGTTTTCCGATTATTCGTTTACTTTAGTTCAGATTTAACTTTGTCTGCAATCAACTATCACGCATCATTATCACTATGTATATGTAGAACATACTACGTATTATTCATTCGATTTAGTTAGAGGTTTTGTGTATGGTTGATATTACAGGCTCTGTATTTCAGTGCTTGTTCAAAAAAGCTTTTCGTATATCAGTGCCTTTGGTTCGTCAACGAACTCGAATAGTATTACTATGTACCTGACTGACTGTGGTTCAAATCAACAGTTAATAACTTCTTGGATTGGTGTCATAGCTTCGTCTGACTGACAATAACTCCCAAAATTACCAATCATTGGAGTTTAAGAACCTCATTGACTTTCCCTTTGTCTGCTTGGTTAAAAAAGATAATGACTACAGCTAGTGATTCATTTTCTTAGATGAATTAATTCGAACTTACTTTTTGCTCAGTTTTATAGTTTCATTTCGCACCTGTGATGATTATTGCAGACTTCAGCTAATACTTTCAAGTCACTGATGTTTCGTCTGTACTGTCTGATGTTGATTAAAACAATAAATCTGAATAGATTTCTTAAGTAGAAAACTTTCAAAGAACAAAAAGAAAAATGTAGAGGGTAAAACGGTTCGAAAGCCGATTAACTTGTTAATATTGAACATTTTACATAGAATGCTTTACCTGTCTTTACGATTCTGGTGACAAATCGACAGAGTCACAGTCACTTAGCATTTGCTACCGAAATTTGAAAGAAGCTCAGAATATATTCCCAATCGCTTGATTAAATGTTATACTATTTATGAGTACTAACAATAAAGCATTCCTTTATCTTTGCAAATATTGTTGCACTGCATAAAAGTAGAGAATACATTGGCTTCACCTATGTTGATTTATTGTTCTTTATGTTAAATATAAACTAACTCAACGTCTTTAAGGGAAATCTACATGAAGGATACATAAACTGATATGATGGAGTAGTCATAAACTTGGCCACAAATATTTTGAGTAAGATGCATTTGATATCTTCACATAGAATCAAAGATAAAGGAAAATGAGATAAAGAAAAGGAAATAACCAAGGATATGATTAGAAGACGTAGAGTGCTATAAAAATAAGAGCTACGGCATCGAAATGAATAATATATCGTAATCACACCCGATAGATAGCTGTTACCTTGGCGTCGTGGTCGGGCCTGCATATCTCAATGACACAAGGAACTACACTGGCTGGAAATAATGTTTCTACTATTCCAGCAGGTTTGTTAAGATGTTAGTTAGACAAAAACCAGTTACGGCATTGTGTAAAATGTTTACCTTCAGCTGGGTGGGGGGTTGTGGCCACAGTCGTCCTGCTGGGGAATAGAGATGTAACAGTAGTAATCTGTTCGCCTCAGGTGACCAGCATGCCAGCTATGCTGTTTCTTCACTCTGGAGAGAGGGGGTTAGAAAATGTCGACCCCGAGACTTGTACATCCCGACTTACCCTACGGTGGTTTGTATCTGGTGGCAAGTTCCTAATACGGAAACAACTCTAAAACCACCTTAAACAGGCCGTGTGTGGCCGGTCTGAGGCATTTGTCCCCAGGGTTCTGCCGTGACGCGACAGTAATTTTCTGTTTTAGGTACCGCGGGAAGTAATAACTGCCCACACACACTTCCAAAAGCATACGAAGCTCTCCTGATGCTTTTCACGTGATGTCATCAGCACACGAAGGTGATTTTAGAAGACCAACACTGACCAAACCACCGAAGTCTCTATAAACTATCTAATCTTAAGTAAACTAAGGATCAGTGGTAGATCTATTACTTAGTTAATCTACGAATATCATAGTCTAAGATGCATGCATACGTATACCTAAGCATGTAACTTGGTTTACTTTAATTAGGTAAGTTAAGATACTAGGAAATCCAGTAAACATAGATTTTTGTTGAGAGAGAGAAAATAAAATTATTTCAATATCATAAAATATTCTATCAAGTTTTCATCTATCGTCTTTGTTTGTTTTTTTCTTTCCATTTTTTAGAGATGATTTCTATCTAAGTGTTGTACAGATTGTTTGTCAAGCTATTACTGTTGTATACGATTGCTTAAAATATTGGAAAAAGTCAGTTGTCCACTTGAATTATGATACTTCACTCTTGGATTTCATAACATTGATATCTCAATGGTTTCATTCAAATGAATCAAAGTTTATGCCGTTAAAATTAACTTCTCTTGATATCCTTTTAAATGTAATTAATTTAACCTCACAATGTACTGATGTATACAATCGATGTCATAATATGATTATCAATTTTTTAAATAATATACAAACTACAGAAAAGCATATTCATGAGTTATTATGCATGACTAATGATTTTAATTCCAATGTACATTCTGAATATATTGCTGATTATTTTATGTGTTTATTTCATAAATTATATCAGTCAGATCAAAGTTTATTACAGCATACACCACCACCACCAATACAGGATTCACCGTGTATTATAAACAAAGAATTCCCGTATTTGTTTGTTTTATTGCATTCTTTTGTATCTCAGAGCAAATGCTTAACTGTTGACGAAAATACTACTACCACTACTAATACTACTCCTCCTAATACATATGCACTAGTTACTTATCGTTCATTTTTATCATTTATGCATAATCATGCATTGTCCATTTGTTCTGTATATATGTTAAATGAATACTTTGTTCAATGGATTTTTGATATGTTGTTCGAATTGTATTTCTCTACTTCTTCTTTTATCATTTTTAATCACTTCAAGAGCAACAACAATAATAATAATGAATTACGTAATCATTTATATTTTAAGATTATTTATGCCTTCTTAATTGATTTAGTTAAAAAGGAAAAATTCGCATGGTTAAAAGATGTTTTGTTTAAGTTAACACGGAATGATAATTCATTTGTGAAAAAAACAAGCTTTTTACATGAATTATGTCAAATTCATAATGATATTATTACTGCTCTTATAAGTACCAGACGCTCAGATTTATGTTATGCTAATATAATTCTAAATGATCATTTAATGCAAAATTTTCTGACTTGTTTGTTCAATCAAATCAATACTGCTGATAGTTGTTTAAGTAGTGATTATTATCCGGAGTGTGCTCATAACCTTTTGGAATCGTATACAATACTGCTTGGAGTCAAAATTCAAATGTTGCACTCAAACAAATTTTCGATGAGTTTAAACTTTTGGCAAGATTCACTCAATACTGCGAAAGATATAAAAAGCCCTAATTTCTTGTTAAGGTAAATTTCTGATCTACTTACTATTTTGAATACTATCTATTGGCATAATTTCATTCCCTTTCTTATGAGAATTTTAGTTTTAAATCTCTATGCTTTGGGATAATATTATAAAGAAGTGTTTGACTGAATTTATATGCTATGTGAAGTCATTATTGTTATCTGAGAGGTGTAAAAGCTTTAGTAAGTACGAAGATGGCAGATGCTTTTCTTTTTGGTTAAGTCACTCGATATTCAGCCTGCAGGTCTTAAATTCGAGATCCGCTCCAAATACCTCAGCCTTGTCTACTGGCTAGTATCCTCACCTTTTTTAGAATAACTTTGTAACCCATAGACTGGTAGGTGAAAAGGCCTATTGTGAATAATTGCCTGCGGGCATCTACACTTTAAAAAAAGTTATATAGATAAGTGAACGGAGAGGTCGAACACTGGATCTTTGTTTGTCGAATGTCAAATTGACACCGTACCACTAATGAAGATATGGGAAGTATTATTACTACGGAGAGCAGATTTCTGACCTATCAGGCTATGAGCCATACTTATTGTAAGAGGAGAGTTGATGATGCCACCCACAGTTGGATTCTGACCCTGCACTAAGTGGTTGGGGGGATTTAGGCCAATAAGTCACATCTCTACTCCACCGTTTCATATGACTTTGGATTGACGAGAAAACATTATGGCAGCTGTCTCTTCTCTGTTTGGGATTCTTCATCAGTGAGCATCCACTGGGATTTGGATCCAGGACCGGTCGGTTACAGGGCAACCTCGTAGTTGATTCAGACACTGGGACCCTATCTAACGACCCAAAAATTCCAACGTCTACCAGTTGGCAATATAAATATATCGTCGTTGTCGTTTGGGTGACCTATGCGGATTATTGACTCTGTAGTTAGTAGTAGTAGTAGTTAGTAGAGTCCACTTGCATTCCATCTCCTCTCACAAATCCTTCTCCCTTCTATGCGTATCTTTTCATCTCTTTATCAATGTGAGCAGGTTTTACAGCTGTGAACATCTGGTAACTAGCTTCCCGAAGACTTTCACCAGTCTGCGTCATTTTGCTTTTCTGCTCCCATCGAAGAATAAGTTTATTTTTTATACATTTTTCTGTGCTTTTATTTAGTAGTCCTGTTGATTTCCTGGCGGTATAGTCGCTAGCCCTACACCCAACCTTCTCTGTTTTTCCGGGCTTAAAGCTGTCTAGTAAACTATGTAAGGTTTTGGCCTATTATGGTTTAATTTAAATTCTCTTGATATACTTACTGATCGGTGTGCTAAGACTAATCATTTCACTCTTAAGGAAACATTTTTCACGTAAATAGTTGTAAGCAATATTATTACTACTATTCTCGTTTGTATTTTTAACATCTTTCTTTGAATTTGTGAGTTGAGACTCTGCAGACTGCCTTGAAGTTATCAGGTGTTTAATGTTGGAAACAGTGATACTTCAAATTGAAGTATGCGCTGAAGATGTTACCCAGTAGGGTGATGAAAGCTTCGCAAATTAACCATCCAGCTCACAGAACAAAACCACATCAAAAACAGTGATATTGTAGTATATGAACGTCAATATTACTTTTTATATATAAATAACGAGTGTTCACTGGTATGAAAAAAAGTCGAGGTATAACTTCTTGATGGTGAACCTATATCGTCAATTTTTACCCTTAAAAGGAAAATAAAGAACTATTGTTTCATTACAGGTAAATAAATAAAGTGGAGATGGGTCGGACGCACACTGAAGAGGCCGTCGGGTTACATCGCTCACCAGGCCGTTAAGTGGAACCCGAATGGTAAATGGTGAGTTGGACGTGTTGTGGAGAGTAACATGAAGTAAGTTGTGCAAAGAGGAAATGAGAGTCTACCGGCAATCATGGGATCAGCTAGAGAAGACTGCATAGAACAGTGCAAACGGACAGATATGCTGTCAAAGCCTTATTTTCCACTTGGAACCCCAGAGAATAATAATATTAGCTAAACGAAGCTTTATGGTATTGGTGTAGTTGTGTTCTCGAAGCAGGACTGATTTTATTATTTTTTATTTTGATTACAGCTTGATTCCACACTGTATTTTTGGTACAGTTATGAAATTTTCAGCATGTGATATCGGTAGCCCAAATTTTGCAGGATGACCATAGGTATCAGGTGTGCGTCGGCAGGAGATCGAACCCCGGACCATATGCATGGTTGGCGAGAGTCACGGTCAGAGACGTTAGCAGTGATTTTGTCTGCTACTTTAAATACCACATGTTCAAGGTTTCTTACCGATTGCCTACTTTTATACAGCATCAGATGGTAGTCATATGAAATTGTCTAGTAATAAAGAAAGTCAGACTCAGTCCTATGCATTCGTAACGAGTGACAACAACCACAACACCTATGCTTTTTAAATTTTCACTTCTAGTATTGACAACTTTTTCAGATGCACTTAATCGTCAGGAGGCTAAGATTGAGGCTGACTCTATTGAGATACATACTGTACTTGTAATACTGTATTCAGTGAATAATTTTTCATACGAACTTATATTCAATATATATTAAATTATAATCTAATTTTTTGTTCATTTATCAAAGATGACTAACTGAGATCATTACTGTCCTGGACATTGGATAATAAATTTAAACTACTGACCAGGACCCTGTGTTTATTTAGCACACAGAAATTGCAATTGTAACCTCAATCGACCTCAGATCCGACAGTGTCGGTGTTTGTTATCTTACATAAATCTAAATATACATATTTTTATCATACAGTTTAGCATAACAGTAATGGTTTATTAACAAGTTTTAGAGTAAATTTTGACGTACACATTAAAAAGGCTAAATCAGACTAAGTTAAACGGAAATAGCATAGAAAGTGCAACCACAAAGCATCTTTGTGCAATTGTTCTGTTTGAAAATAAACTTCATACACACCTCTGTAATAATCATCTGATCCAAAAATAGCTGATCTTAGTAATTAGGCTTGTTTGTTTCATCGTTAGCGATAATCTTCGAATGCGCTGATGTGGATATTAGTGATTATTGTTACACTTTGCACTTTAATATCAAACTTTAGAAGTATTTAGATAGATGGTGACAAACAGTGGGATCCAGGAGGCGCATTTAGTCCTATTTAGGCCTCGTCAGCTGGACATGAGTTGTAGTCGGCCGACGGTGACTCGAACCCAGTGCCCATTGTATCAAACGTCAAAGCGTTATCCACGACTACGAAAGTCAGCTCTTCTTGTCCAACGGACAACAATTATCACTTGTTTTCAACTCAATCTTCATTTTCCTGTTGATTAACTGGACCGAGGAGACGACATGCCAACAGAGGCTGCACATGTCGGTCCAATCAATCAATAATAAACTTTAGCAGCTAACCTGATAAGACTTACTGCACTTTGGTGTTCCACTCAGGAAGCTTTTATCAAACTTAGATTATTTCTGAGATTTCAGCTAGCCTAAATCTTTACCCATGCAAATGTCTAACCTCCTATTGAACTAGTGTATGCATGCAAATCTGTCAATGAATTATAGTCAGCGTATCGTCAGTTGCATAAACACACATTTTCTTTATTCCGGTAAGTAGGTGGACAGACTTGGTCCCTATTCTTTTAGTGTACATGAGTAAACCACAAAATAACGTATGTCTCCGATATCTGAGTATAGCGATCGATTACTGTCCAAAAACCTCTAAGAGGAAACTCATTCTAACCTTCATTCGCTCTTCAAAAGGTCAATCTGTCCATCTTAATCATTCTTCTCCCTAATTAGATGAACAATTAAATCATGAGAATTTTATGCTTAATTTGTCTAAGACAGGAAATACACCTTTTTTTCAGATAAACTCCGTCTTTTAAAATAATGCTATCAAAATAATAAATTCATGATCAACAAGAAGTCGATTGAATCTCATAAATGTTTTGTCCTGGAGTTAAGAATTTTAATGTTACTCATTAACTACTTTGAATCGTACACTTTAGGTAATATCTGACTGCATAAATCTCATTAAGCAAGGCGAAATTCAAATCTGTCACTGACTTACTGGATCGGAAGTCAAATGCGTCAAAACAATCAGCTATATCTCATCTACATATTACTCGACTATTTACTACAATCGAATCAGTTTTCTACTTTTCCTAATATCAGTAATACTTGTAAACTTAGATTTATTATTATTCCTTTGGGTTCTAAGTGGAACAAGCACATCATCCTGTTCTCTGCAGTCTTGTTTAGCTGCCCTCAAAATTGCCCATAAGCTCTTATCTCATCATACGATCTTCTCTTTATCACCCTCCGCCATATGCCCGACTCTCTGTGTTCCATTGGGATTGCACTCGAGGACTTACCTAACGCGTGATGTCACTCAACGATCTTCTCAGCGTGGGTCCTATCCATCTCCATTTTCTTCGGAATATCCATTGAGTAGTAGATTCTTGGTTGGTTCATTCTCAGGGATTCATGCTGCTAATGCTTTCTAGTTACCGGATCTTTAGTACCGAGCCGGCGAAGGCAGCTGTTGGTGAAGGTTTTCGGCCTGTGAAATATGCTTTTGGCGACGCGCCAGATGAAAGAACTGGTATGACATCGCGATGCTGAAAATCCGAATTTTGTTCTTTATGCTGTATGCAGTAGATTTCCTTACTGATTTCAGAGTGATGAGTGTCTGTTTTGCCTTTCTGATTCTGGTCTTGACATTCTAATCCATGCCTCCACGTGTAGCTAAAATGATGCAGTCTAGATAAGCGAGTAAAGTGACCTCTTTCAAATTTCTCCCGTTGATATTGATTGGTGCTAATTGTTGGTAGTGGCGGTTGGTTATCTTCATCACCTGTGTCTTCTCTATGTTCACTTGGAGTTCTGTCTTCGCTGCTTCTTCTGCCAACGTTTTGGTTTCCTCCTGTGGGTCCTCGATTTTGTGGGGCATTAGATATAGATCCTGCTCAAAGTTCAGATTTTATCGGTCAATCGTATTCCTGTCTTCTTCCTTCCTACAGTTTGGCACGTAATCTAGTCCACTACAATTGAGAATATCGTCGTTGATATTAATGTTGGGTCATTTGACGTGTGACATTGTCATATAGCTGTCGAAATGGGTTGGTAAAGATTTGGGGCACTCTATAGTATTTAAGTAGTTTACAAATTACTTCTCGGTCAACACTGTCGAAGGCCTTTTCAAAGTCGACGAAAGTGAAGCAGAGATTTGACTGCCATTCTATGCTCTTTTCGATGATGATGATGATGATGCGTAGAGCTGCAATTCAATCAGCACATATTTTACTTTTCCAGGATCCAATTTATTGAGTTCTGGCAGAGCTCTGAATCCAGTACATCTTTTAGTCTCTCCAGAATGATGCGATTTAGTGTTTAGCTTGGCATGGACCAAAGCATGACTCCGCGCCAGTTGTTACAGATGCCTCAGTCTCCATTCTTCGGTACCTTGACAAGTTTTCCTTTCTTTCAATCAGTAGGCACTTCTCCTAGCGAGAAGTTCTAAAGTAAATGGTGAATTAGTTATTAGATGTCTTATTATTCTATTTTTTCCCATACTTTATCGGTTAGTACTCATAAATCAGTGGTTATGTAGCTGCAAGTGTTACTCTATGCAAATCTGTATTGATCAAGATCGATTGATGTTATCATGTAATTTGTTTGTCGCTTTACATTATACATTTTAGACGTTTAGTCAACATGTTAACTATGCCGTGGAATCGTCCTTCACTAAAATTCAGTGATCACAATCAATTGTCCCTAATTCAGGAGCACGAAAAATTGCAAAGTTATTTAACAGATTTCACTATTCAGTTGTTCTCTGATGTATTTAATCAATCAGAACACTTGTTGTACACATCTCAGTTTATCGGTCAGAATAAGGTAAATTTGAAAGTGGATAAATTGCGTGTATTCATTTTTGATTTGATGTTTCAATAATTATTCTAAAATAATATTGATAGTTATTACACTTCTTATTGACGACAATACAGTCTTTCTATTGTTTGGTTTGTAAGGATTAGTTATGTTTTACGGGTTGATCACGGATTGATATCAGTTAGAGAACCATTGAAAACCAGGGAGTACTGGACAGCTTCTGTTTCATCCTAGTTTGGGAACCATCGGCAGTACGCACCCACTGGGATTCGAACCCGGGACCTTCCGGTTACAAGGCAAGCTCGTATACCATTCAGCCACTGGGACCCGATTCAATGGCTCGTGAATTCTAACTTCTACTAATTCGTGATTTAGCCATTGAATCGGGTCCCAGTGGCTGAATGGTATACGAGCTTGCCTTGTAACCGGAAGGTCCCGGGTTCGAATCCCAGTGGGTGCGTACTGCCGATGATTCCCAAACTAGGATGAAACAGAAGCTGTCCAGTACTCCCTGGTTTTCAATGGTTCTCTAACTGATATCAATCCGTGATCAACCCGTAAGACAATACAGTCGTTATATTTCTTGACCTAAAGGCAGCATTCGACTCTGTCGATTGAGAAGTTCTCTGGAGATGTAAAGGGAATCCCGAGAAAATATATTACACTGATTAAGGCACTCTACTCGTACTCATACAGCCAGGTGAGGGCTTACGGCGAGCTGTCATCTGAACTGGTGACGACTAGTGGTGTCCGTCAAGGATGCCCATTATCCCCTTTTCTATTCAACTTCATCATAGATGTGTTAATGGACTTAACCCTAGGTGACTTCAGCGACTCAGGGATTGACTTGCTACCGGGGAATAATCTCGTTGACTTGGAATATGCAGACGATATAGTCCTTCTAGGCAAAGACGCCGACGAAATGCAGAGTCTTCTGAACAACTTGAGCTGTAATCTACGGATGTTTGGCATGCGATTCGCTCCCGCCAAATGCAAGATGATGTTACAGGACTGGACTACATCGACGCCTAGTTTAAAAATAGGAAGTGAAGTGGTAGAGCACGTTGACCGCTTCACTTATTTGCGAAGTACCATCAACCAGTGACAACGGGTTGATCTCTGACGAGATCTCAGCACGAATACAGGGGGCTCGTTTCGCATTTGCCAGTTTACGCCGACTCTGGCGTAGACGAGATGTTCGACTATCGACCAAAGGGCGGGTGTACTGCTCATCAGTCCGCTCCGTCCCCCTTTATGGCCAGCTGTGAGACCTGACCACTGAGAGTGGAAGACATGGAAAGACTAGCTAGCTGTCTTTGATCATAGGTGCCTGCGCTCTATTTCCCGTGTAAAGTGGAATAATAAGGTGAGCAACATTGAGGTTAGGCGTCGAGTGCTAGGTAAACAGGGGAAATCAATCGACGAAGTTGTGAAGTTACAAAGACTGAGATGGTTAGGACATGTGTTGCGTATGCCAAGCCATCGCCTCCCTCGACGAGCAATGTTAGCGGATATAGGTTCAGGCTGGAGAAGAGCTAGCGGAGGTCAAACAAAAACTTGGCCGAACCAGTCAATGAAATCCACAACAGTTGGTCTAAGCCACGTAGGAAGGTGTAGACTTCCAGGCTGGGGTCCTCGGGACGGTAGAAATCTATGGTTGGAAACAATTGGTGACATGGCTCAAAATCGTTCTCAGTGGCGCAGATGTATCCACTCCTTGTGATTTATGATTTCCAATGAAACTTTTATGTTCTTCGTTATTACTCCTTTGTCTCACCCCTCTGCTCACTGTCTCTATTATGCTTTTCTTGTACTTTCTTCTCTTGCTTCGCGTGCTACACGGAGTGTGGCGACTTGAACTTCCGTACATTTGTGCAAAGTTCTATGTCGAAAACAGACAGATAGACATTGACGACAATATCGGAAATAACCTTGTATTAGTTAATTGATAGTGCTGTTTGAAAGTTGAATAGACAGTTTGATTATGACAGGATTCGAACCACCAGTCTCTAGACACTCCAGTAACTAAGCTGTACGATCCAGGTTTCCATTTATTTACAGTCATGAAGCGATGTTACTCAGAAGTGGCATGTGAATTAGTGGGGAAAACTGTGTAAATCAAACTCTGGCCATTAAAAGCCGTCAGTCCTACTTACTGCAGGCGACGTGTGCTGAATTTCTTAGACGTCTGTACCATACAATATTTCAGAATCTCATCATGACCTGACATCGGTTAGAGAACCATTGGAAAACCTGGGAGTGCTGGACAACCGTTTCGTCCTATTTTGAGACTGACTCGCTGCGCACCCACTTGGGGTTGAACCCAGCACCTTCTGGTTAAAAGACTAGCTCGTAGACCATTAAGCCGCTGGGATCCGTTCCGATGGCCCATGAATTCCAACTTCTGCCGATTCACGATCAAATGGCCGGAAACAATAAGCAGCAGGAAACTCTGGGAACGAACTAACCAAGAACCTATCGCTCAACAAATATGCAGGAGAAAATGGAGACGGATTAAACGCATGCTGGGGAAAAAGTTGAATGACATCACGCGTAGATGGGCCGTCGAGCGGAACCCGAATGGGAAACGACGAATGAGTTTTCCTAGGGTGACATCGAGGAGATCGTTGTGATGAAGAGATGAGAGGTGAACATTCGTGGGTCCAACTAGAGATGACAGCAGAAAATAGAACACATTGGAAATGTATTATTGATATAAGTATAAAACTTTGACACTGTGGTGGTAGAGTATAACTCCATTATGGATAAGATTTTATTTTGATAAATCACACAGTGTTGTACAGTAATATTTACGTGATGACGTGGAATTATGTTGTTGAAGTCCTGTGTTCCACCTAAGGCAACAATGATAAAATAATAAGTATTGTCCAACAACGAATTGAACATTGGAGCTTCAAGTTTCACGGCGAGCACTTTAGCATTCAGCTTCTGAGTCGAAATATATTCGCATGTAATTAACAACTTCTGTCACGTGGCGATATAGTACCGCAAATGTCACTTGATCATGGTTACGTACTGCTGACGAGAGTCATCCTTGCTTTTCAGTGGTTCTCTGTTTGATTGATTCGTGTTGAACCCACCTTTAATACCGATTTATAACACACTTCTCAAAATATACAATGCTGTAATATATTCACACTTAGATGATCTGGGTATTTCGGCATCATCAATCGAAATTGTTTCTAATTATATTGATTATAAGTTGTAACGCTAATAAGAAAAGCAGTGCTTCAGATCAGCTATAATATAGTTTCACTGGAAAATACAGTAGGGATATCGTTGTCCTTTTGATCTTTAAACTAACAGACTTTGTGAATCTGGTTCATTGCAGTCTCTCTTTCTATCGTTTTTTCCATTAAATGCAGAACTTTGATGAGGTCAAATTCATCTGGCAATTGTTAGCCTATCTAGTTATGTTGTCTCGTTCAAAATGGTGCGAACCACCACTGGTTATACAAAATGCCTCAAAACAATTTCTGTGTAAACTTCATACTTTGAACAAGTATCTTATCGATTTTGGCATGACATTCATCAACAAAGTTATCCAGTCGGCAATCTATTATTCTGTGAATACTGAATTCAATTTGGAAGATAAAGATGGCTTCCGATTGGAAGGTATTCAAGAGTTACGTTCATTAATTCTACCGCCAATTATTGTTTTAATTGAAATGATGCCGCATAAATCGGTAAGCTGTTGTTGCCTGATTTTTGTATACGTTTTATTTTAATTTTTTCCTCCACATTAAGTCACCCATTAAATATTTGTTCATGAAAAGTCTAATTTCTTTGCACACACTCTCAACCAGACAAAGTTCCTTGGTATTGTTTGACAACGGTACTTTTGGCACTTTATAAGTAATGAGCAATGAGGGGTAGGGAATTATTTTATATTCTGCTAAAAATATCTCTCAAGTTTTCTTTCCTCCTTACGCGTTACGAATGGAGCATAGGATGTGAAGCTTGAGCCTTGAACTTTCAGTGGCGGTGGACACGTTTTACCGATCAGTGTCGCACTAGTCTCATAACCACCACCCTTCCTTCTTTTTCCGGGCTTACTATGGGCTAGTAAACTGTCGAGGGGAGTAGGGAATTGAATCGTACATGGCTGACAAGCATTCTACCTTTGGACGTCCGGTGAACCCATAAAAATCTTTGCATCCTTGTCATATATAGTGACTGAATATCCGATTATATTTTTAGACGCGTTTTGCAACTGTATTGTTCAATCTTTTGTCCTTTCATTTTCTTCATTATTAGCACTAAGTGATCTCTTTAGCTTATATTCCGATGATAGTTTACGTGTAACAGAAAGTTTTCCTTATTCTTTTATTCCTTGTGACAACAACCCATTCGTTAATATAAAGCCATCTTGTACAACTCTTTATTCTAGCTTGGTTTTCATTGTGTTCAAATTACTGTTAGCAATTTTGTATTTTTATGTTATGACAACTTATTTTGTTGATTGTTGCTGTATCCTTCAGACTATATACTACTATACAAACTGACTCGATGCATTGAAGGACTGAGCGTTAAAGTATCAATAGTGATGGGGTTATTTCGAAGTGAAGTCAGGAGTAAGACAACACTGTTGATTGTTACCGGTGATCTTCGTGATTGTTGGAGCCTAGAACATACGATAGATAGCGAGGATCGAGAAGGTGGACATATGTTAGACTGACAAAAAGCCCCAGAAGATCTGGATTTCGTGGGCGGTTTTTCTTATATCACAAGGGCCCAAAGAATTACAATCGAATACCAACAAAACTGTATGTGAGCATAGTCGAGATCAAAATAATGAATCTGTTCGGTTATCTACGTACATCAGTCTCAGCCAATGGGAGAAGTTTGAAGAAAGTTGTCTATTCCATTTACTTCTGCAGCATCACTTCAAAATCGTGAATTAGTGGGGGGGGTTAGAGTTCATAGGCTGGCCAATGAGTTGGGTCCCAGTAGTTAAATGCTTTACGATTCTCGCCTGGGGAATCGCAGGTCGTGGGTTCGAATCCCGCTGGGTGCGTGCTTCTGATGAGTCCCAAACTACGACAAAACGGCTGTCCAGTACTCTCTGCTCTCTAACTGATATCAATCCGTGGTCAAACTTGAAACAAATCAAATTCCTACAGATAAACTCTTGAAAATATGAAATCGCGAAAATGTTTTCTAGGTATTGTTTTCCGAATCTCACAAGGGCCATGAATTCCTTCAGGGTTGCAGATACGCCTCGCTGTTAAGTGCCAACTAACACAACCTATATCCGAGGCTTCCTGCAGATTGCCTCCAACCATCTAATGTCATCAAATCAATGTGCGTCGTGACGGCGATCTACCTAGTATGGTTGGCGACCACATTGCAAAACTGACTGATAGAATTCAGTCTGCACCAAAGAAAGGACTACACACATCACAATGGTTACTAGTATCCGATTAAAGTATAGTTTTTCCACTAGTATTTACTAAACACATACAATAGTCTTTAGTTATCAATTAATGAGTTGCTTTCAGGATTTCATCATGAGCTGACATTAGTTAGAGAACCATTGGAAAACCTGGAAGTACTGGACAGCTGTTTCGTCCTAGTTTGAGTCTCTTCAACAGTACGCACACACCGCCATCGTTCAAACCCAGGACCTTCCGGTTACAAGGTGAGCTCGTATACCATTAAGCCACTGGGACCCGATCTAATGGTCCTTGAATTCTAACTTCTGCCAATTCACGACATAGCGCGACCGTTAGCCAATGTCTTCGGCAAGTATTTGTCCTCACACTCGACCCGCTGCACCCTACTGGTCACGACTTCCCACTAGAACCCAGGTTACTATCTACCTGAATAGGGCCAGTCGCCAGTGAGCATCTCATTGGTATTCAAGTGTTGGTTTTTAGATATTTGATTGGTTTCCAGGTTTTTCAATGGTTCTCTAACTAATGTCAGCTCATGATGAAATCCTGTAAACCAATCAAATCCCTACAAACCAACACTTGAATACTAATGAGTTGCTGTTTTATGCGTAAATACTGATGTCCTCGTTTCATAATGACTTTTATCCTACTGACTTTTTCTCGTCGTTTTTGTTGCAATGTATTATGTGCTGAACTGCTGTAATGTTATAAATCTAAATCTCTGCCAAACCCAGAATATGTGAGTATTATTTATTTTATTTTGGATTACAGCTTGATTTCACACTGTATTTTTGGTACAAGTATAGAATTTTCAGCATGGATATCGATAGCCCAAATTTTGCAGGCCGACCATAGATATCAAGTGTGCGTCGGCAGGGGATCTAACCTAGGACCATGTGCATGGTCAGCGAGAGTCCTAACTCCAGTGCCACCGTTCTTATGCTCATTACTGACTACACGATAAATGTCTTGAAGTTCTAATGAGTTGTACCTGGCAGAATCTACCATGTGAGGTATGTGTTTGCCAAGGACCCTGGTTAGAGTTTGTGCCATATAATGAATCGGCTCAAGTTAGAATTCATTGGCCACTGGATTCTGACTCACCGACTGAATAATCAGTCATCGCGTACAGCACCTAAACTTCCTGCCAAAGAGTCAGTCCTAAGCTAGGTCAAGACAGTTGTCCAGTGCTCCTTCGTTCTGCTCAGTTTTCTGTTTGATATTGTTTCGTGACTGATTTTGCACTGAAATTAATACATTGTATGTAATGCATTGTATAAAAAAATGAATATCTCAAGTTGGACAAGTGCATGATTGTTTTACATTGCAACATCTGATATATATATATATATATATGCACTGTCTCACACTATTTAAATTCTTAAACTCTGAATACTGAAAAATAAAACCGATTCATATAGTAGATAAACAAAAAAGAGCAAAGTAAATTAATCAGTCTTAAAATAAGGTGATTACCTGGTGAGTGGATTAGATTATTATTACACATACACATTCACTCTGATGGACACCTACATGTAAATGTATAACTCCTCCTCTTGTCGTTATATGTTATGTATGACTAGTTTTTCTCTGCCTATCTAAACATCATACTCTGTTTTTCGTTCTCATTTTAGGCTCCATTAAAGAACAACAACGATGAGAGTAAACGCAGCAATGATGATGATTATGGTGATGACAATGATATAATTAATCAATTATTAATTATTATGGTCAATGCTTTCTCACAATTAAATCCAACTCTAAAATCATTTGGTTTCGATTATTTTTACACATGTTTACCACACTTAACTCAATTTGTATTTTGTGAAAGTGTTTTAATAACTACTGTAACTACTACTACTACGACTCATACTGCTACTAGGAGCAATACTCCTGCCACTGTCACTGATACTAGTGCTAATATTCTTGAGAAATCTGAATCAACTTCTAGTGAACAATTATTGAGCAAGCAATCAATTACTCCCACTGATAGTTATTATTTTGGTAAGTTATTTGTCAAATTCAACGAAATAATGATACATAGTGAATAGAAATTTATACCGATTAGCTGTATTCAATTTCATCAATTATTATTATTATATCCTTTAATTCCTAGAGGAACATAGGGCTTCAGCCGCGCGTCTACATTGCCTTCGGTTTTCTGCCAACTTTTTCACCCCGCTCCAAGTCTGCTCACATGCTTTCATCTCCTCTTCACATGACCTCCTCCAAGTCACCCTCACACTGACGACTGACTCGCCACCTACTTCCCTTTTGGGTTCCACAAGAGCGATGGCTTGTCTAGTGATGTCACTTGATGCTTTCCTCAGCGTATGGCCAATCCATCTCCATTTCTTCCTGCCTATTTCTTTCACAATCGCTTCCTGGTTGGTTCGCTCATTACCAGAGATCCCTGTTGCTGATCTTTTCTGGCCGGCCATTTGATCTTGAGTAGTATTGAGCGAAGACAACTGTTAATGAAGGTCTGAAGTTTGTTTGAAGTGCTCTTCGTGACGCGCAGTGCAAGTCTCTGATCCGTATAGTGAGTAGCACTGACTGACTTCACATTGGAGTTGAAAATCCGGATCTTATTTTTGATACTGAGTGCTGTTGATCTCCACACAGATTTGAGAGTAATGAAAGCTTGTCTTGCTTTTCCGATTCTGGCTTTGATATCCTCATCAGTTCCACCTGTAGTTGAAACGATGCTTCCCAGGTAGGTGGGTAGGTAAAGGAGGTTGCTTCTTTCAGTTTCCTCCCATTTATGCTGGCTGATTGTTGTCTGTTGTTGTTGGTGTTGGCCAGGAATCTTCATCACCTCTGTTTTATCTATGTTTATTTGGAGTCCTATCTCTGATGCTTCTTCTGCCAGCTTGTTGCTTTTCATCACTTGGATATCTTCCAGTTTGTGGGAAATCAGACATATATCATCGGCGAAGTCCAGATCCTCCAAGTCTCTTTTTGTGTGAGTCCATTTTATGCCTATTCCCTCGTTGGTTGCCGTTGTCTGTCGCATTATCCAATCTACTGCAATCAGGAAGATCATTGGTGATAGTAGACAGTCTTGTCTCACTCTCGTCCTCACTTCGAAGGCTTCCGTAAGTTTCCCGTTTTGGATTACTTGGCATGCAGCATTGTCGTACAACTAACTGTTGGATGAGATGTATAATTGTCGATGGCCCCTTTTTGGTAGTAGCGAAGTAGTTGCCAAATCACCTCTCGATCGACGCTGTCGAAGGCCTTTTCAAAGTTAATGAAGTTGAGTGAGGTGGAGAGATGACTGCCATTCCAAGCTTTGTTCAATGATGATCCGTAGAGTGGCGATTTGATCAATACATGATTTGTTTCTCCTGAATCCGGCCTGTTCCGGTCGAAGTTTTGCATCCAGGGCTTGCTTGGTTCTCTCCAGGATGATGTGGCGTAGTATTTTGCTTGGGATGGACAGGAGCAGAGTTCCGCGCCAGTTTTTACATTGACTTAAGTCTCCTTTCTTTCATTTCATCAAAGTATGTTGTTATTATTGTTAGCAATGAAAATCTTCTGTTACTCAGTGGATGATTTTATTTCACTGCTTCTCTAAATGATATGTCGATTTGTGACGCGATCTATTCTGCAATCAATCAATCAATCCAATCATCAAACAGCGCAACAACACACGAGAATTTTAACCAGCGGAATTAGGTCAGCGTTTATGACTAGATGAAATGTGGAACAGATTGTTCTTCAATGGCTATTTTTTTGTTTTGGTTATAGCTTAAAACCACACAGTATTTTTGGTACAAGTATGGAGTTTTCAGAATGTGATATCGCTGGCGCAAATTTTACTGGCTGACCTTTGATATCAGGTGTGCGTCGGCAGGGTCTTTGTCAATTTGTCTACTTTATGATATCCGGTTATCGCCCAAAGGACATGTGTACTGCCCAGCAGTCCTCTCCGTCCTCCTTTATGGCTGGCTGTGGGACATGGCCATTGAGAGTGGAGGACATGAAAAGATTAGCTGTCTTTGATCATAGGTGTCTGCGTTTTATCTTACATGTTAAATGGTGTGATATGTTGAGCGATACTGAAGTTAGGCATCGTTTGAATGCTAGGCAAGGAGGGAGGGAAAATCAATCGACGACGTTGTGAAGCATCTGCAGCGATTGAGATGTTTTTGACATGTGTTACGCATGTCAAGCCATCGCCTTCCTTGACGGGGAATGTTAGTCAGCTATCGTAGGGTCAGGTTGGAAGAGAGCCAGTGGTGGTCAAAACAAGGCATGGCTTCATTAGTCAATGAAATCCACAACAGTTAGTTTAGCCCAGCCAGTCACATAGGGAGGTGTAGACTTCTTGGCTGGTTGAGGTCCTTGGGATGGTAAGAACGAATGGCTGGAGACAATTGTTGATATAGCTCAAAATCGTTCTCGATGATGCTGCAGATGCATTTACTCTTTTTGGCTTACCACATCAAATAAAACTATTGTTCTTCCATATTTCTGTTGTTTTTGCCTCATATTTCTGTTTACTATCTCTGTATTGAATCTCCGTTTACTTTCTTCTCTGGCTTTGTGAGCTGAAATACGCTACCCAGATACGAAGTGTGGGTCGGTGGCACAGCGGTTAGGACGCTCTCTGACCATGCACATGGCCCAGGGTTCGATCCCCAGCCACTGACGCACTCCTTTACATCGCTAAGTCAGAAAGAGGAAAGTAAAGAGGAAAAGTTGGGTATGAGGTCAGCAACCCCATCCTGTAAAAATAAACACTGCTACAGTAACTTCAAGCCACTAGTTTGAAGCCCTATGTTCCATTAAGAACTTAAAGGAATAAAAAAAAATACGGAGAAAGAAAGGATAGAATATACGGGGGAGATCGTCTGGAAAGCAAGTAAGCACATTTGTCAAGGTCATTCATCATTCCTTTCTATCACGAAGACAAGAAACAAGCGAATTGCAGCCTGTTGAGAAACGTATTTATGGATAGTTGGGAACACAAAGGTCTTAGAACTTTTGATGCTTATGGTGAAGATATGTGTATGACACACTCATTATGTTTTGATCCAAATATATCGCCAAGTTCTTCAATCATTTATATGCGGTAGTAGATGGAATCCAATTCACCTTTGAGTTGGAAAATGAACAAGGCAAGTTTGCCACTTTATACTGTAAAATAAAACGAAAACAGAATGGTGGGTTAAACGCTAGTATTTATTTTATTATTATTATTATTGCTCCCTTGGGTTCCTATTGGAACATAGGGCTTCAACTGCACGTCTCCACCTACTTCTGTCTTCCTTCTGCTGTACTTTTCACCTGCATCCATGTTAGTCCATACTGTTTCAACTCCTCTTCACACGATCTCCTCCATGTCACCCTTGGACGTCCCACACGCCGCTTCCCTTTCGGGTTCCACTCGAGGGCTTGACGCGCGATGTCACCCAGCGGTCTCCTCAGCGAGTGACCGATCCATCTCCACTTTCTCCTGCATATTTGTTGGGCGATTGGTTCTTGCTTTGTTTGTTCCCATACTTCCTTGTTGGTGATTCTTTCCGGCCATCTGATCTTCAGTATGGAGCCAGCGAAGACAGTTGTTAATAAAGGTCTGCAACAGGCTGTTGGAAATATTCTTTGTGACCCGCCCGCCAAGTTTCTGATCCGTATAGAAGAACTGGCTGACTTTACGTTTGTATTGAAAATCCGACGGAATTTTGTTGTTGATGCTGAGTGACGAAGATTTCCAGATTTATTTCAAGTTGATGAATGTGTTTCTCGCCTTCCCGATCCTCGATTTGACATCCTCGTCCGTTCCTCCTGTAGTTGAGACAATGCTCCCTAGATAAGTGAATGGAGAAGTATTTATGGAGAACCAATATATTCTAGTAAATACTTGGACTTTAATTCCTCCCACGAAGGTTTAGTTAAATTTCTGTATAACCCGGCCAGGAGTCTAACTAGTAAGACTATCTAGTTAGTCAGAGCATTTAAGTATTGAAATCAAACAAATAAAGAAAACATTGTTATCTATCAGATTTTATTAAAAAATGTATACCAACACTAAGGAAACAAGAGTAGTAATGAAAAAGATGAAAATAATATAATTAGTATACCATTCAAGGCCTGTGTAGCACTACCATATAAACAAACAACATAAGAGACTCTACTTAGGGCTATTAATAAGGCTTCAATTAGGATGGTGTTTAAACCAACCAATTTATTCAGAGACAAGCTTTCTCGTCTAAAAGGCTGGATAAATCCAACTAAAAAAATTATGTAATTTGCCAAATTAATGTAATGATTATGAGGTCAATTACATAGGTCAAATTAGTAGATCAGGGTCAGTTAGATTATTGGAACATAGAAATTTATCTGTGGCTAGAATGACTGACTATTCTAGGTTCGATGACCTGGAAAAAAACTCCACCATTACAATGCATTCACTCACATGTAATCGCACAACGGAATGGGATATGGTTAAAGTATTGAAGAGATAGAGAGAGGTTGATCACTTAATCTTTGTTCTTCAACTCAACACCAAACAAATACATTCTAAATGACGGGATACCTATACTGGAGCTATGGGAATTTGCAGCCAATTATATCTCGAACCCTACCCAGGGACTCATAGATGGATGCTAACCTAACACACATTTCCTTCATACTATGACGCCAGCTTCATAGACTGACTGCCTATCTGCTTTTTCCAACCAGTCTTAGGGCTAGCGAACAGTGTGGGGTATTCCAGACTCTGAGATAAAATTCTTAGTACATGTCCAAGCCACTGAAGCCGGTGCTTAAAAATGACCACACTCGATAAAAGGTGAACTCCACTGTGTCCAAACACACGCGGACGGATCTGAGAATTATTTACATCACAAAGCCGTTGGACGCAAGCAATTCTAATGAGGCAGCAACGATTGAGTGCTCAGAGTGGCTGCATTTCCTCAGCTCGGAGAGGCCAAGTTTCGAAGGTAAAGAGTAAAACTGTATGCACTGAACCATCGTAAACCCTACCCTTGACAGCC